CTTCTTGATGTCCTCTGCGGTGCTCCTGACATGGATCTTACAATTTTTCTCACTGATTAAACTTATGATTTACTTTCTTAAAAAAAGATGCATGCATATAAATATATATATACGTACACACACATTATGATCATCACATGCAAAACATAACTTCGTCATCACCAACTCGCCTTTATTGCTGCAGATCGATCTATCATAAAACCAATGCATATGTACCGAAATATATATATACACACACACACATAGACACATTACTTTTCACGAAAATCTTTTAAATTTATGTCTTTGATTCTTGTTTTCTTCTCATTATTGTTTGTGATGATAGGGAAACGAGGAGAACAGAGGAGAAACTAACAGTTCTACGAGCATATTTGTGAAATGGATATTAATCTTAATGCTAATCTTCACGATTATAATTATTCTCAGTGTAGCAGAAAAATTTAGAATGTGGAGAGAATATATTGTAATAACTGAAAAAATAGGATAAGATCAAAGCTGCTTTAGTTGAGGTGCCAATGATTAGAAGAAAATATGTACATATATAGAATCAAATAATATTATATTGTATTAAATATATTTAATGTTATATTTAAGGTAAATCTCAGAATAATTATAGAAATTTGATTTATAAATTGGAAGAAATAGATAATATATATGTAAATAGAAAGATATAATTCTCAATATCATCGAATGGATCGGGAAATCAACTCCTGACAACAACACAGGCGATGAAAACATTCGTTGTGGTCTAAACAAAAACGGTACTTGTCATCCAATTTCAGTCAGGTAATCAGTGGGTCCCACTTCCTCACATCCCAACCATCCACGTGTCAAACGATCTTAGTTCGGACGGCATTCTTACGCCATTCCTGCCCCTATATGATCCTCGCCCAAACCACCGTCCTCACCTGCTTCTAGTATCCAGAGTCCAGACCCCTGCTCCATACTCTTTTCTTCTTACTACTACTTCGCTAGTGTTTCTCCGTCTCTCCAACTTGGTCACTGTTTTCAAGAGAGGAATCAGCAAACTCAAAATGCAGTACAAGAATTTGGGTAGATCGGGACTCAAGGTCAGCCAGCTTTCTTATGGGGCCTGGGTCAGCTTCGGTAACCAACTCGATGTCAAAGAAGCCAAGTCTCTTATGCAATGTTGCAGGGACCACGGCGTTAACTTCTTCGATAACGCCGAAGTCTACGCCAATGGCCGCGCCGAGGAGATCATGGGCCAAGCGATCAGGGAGTTGGGATGGAAGCGCTCCGATATCGTCGTCTCCACAAAGATCTTCTGGGGCGGACCCGGTCCCAACGATAAGGGCCTCTCCAGGAAGCACATCGTAGAAAGCACCAAGGCCTCGCTTAAGAGGCTTGATATGGATTACCTGGATGTCATTTATTGCCACAGGTGACGGGACCCGTCTTTGATTTGTGCTTATACAAATGCGATTTATTTGACTTCTCCTTTGTTCTTTGATTTTATTGCTTTCTTTCGTCTTCGTTATTGATTTGAGATCACGTCAGTGTTCTGCTGCTGTGGCGATGAAGGAATTTTCC